CCATTTATTATTATTATTAATTAATTTTTCTTTTATAAATACATTTACCTACCAATTTAAAACCATATCTTCCTTTCTTTAAATTGCATTCCATTCTCCTCTATTTTTCTCTATCTTTTTTTTTTTTTTTTTTCAATTTCATTACGTTTTACTATTTTCTCTCTACATTCCAATTTAAATTTTGAAAATTGATGTAATTCCTAGGTTAGTTGTTTCTACAAAATTTGATCGAAATCGAAAAAGCGGCGTTGGCTCAAGCATACATTGACACTTTCGAAAATAGACACATGAGTCAACATAAATCGTCATATATATGGCGATCAGTTTTGGATCATTTTAAGCAGCAATTTGTCGGTTCAGATCGTTGAACACATCATTTTATTCAAAATAGAAACACATGCAGGGAAAAGTGAAATAGTTTAATGTTATTTTACCTAATAGACATGATTCGACAGAATCATGATAAGTATTATAGAAATTATATTGTATAGCTTATATTAGTAGGAAAGTTTGTTATTTCCTTATCTTGTATTCTTTGTATTATTTATAAAGATCAATACAAACCCCACCAGGCATGGTGAACTTTCACAAACCCTAATATGGTATCAGCCTAATCTCTTCCTGGCCGGCCATTCTCTTGACCGTCTATCCTCACCATGGCCGACTCCACCCTTCCCCTCTCTACTCTTCTTCATATGCTTACCATTAAGCTATCCTCCACTAACTATCTCCTTTGGAAGAAGCAGATTCTACCCCTCTTATCCTACCAAGATCTTCTTGGATACGTTGATGGTTCTATTACCGCTCCCTCTGCCACTGTCATTGTTGCTGGCTCAAGCGGTCCTTCACCAAATCCGGCCTATACTTCCTGGGTAGCCTCCGATCAACGTGCACTCATTCTCATCCAATCCTCTCTCTCTGAAGAGGCTATGGCTGAGACCTTAGATCATAAAACTGCTCACGAAATTTGGACTGCTTTGGAAGCAATCTACAGCAATGACTCTACTGATCGTTTGCATACTCTAAGAGATTCTCTTCGACACATCTCCAAGGGTTCTTCTACTGTTACTGCATATGCAAGAAAGTACAAGGCAATCTGTGATCAGTTATCTTCCATTGGCCATCCTCTTGATGTTGCTGATAAAACCCACTGGTTTTTGCGTGGTCTTGGTCCCACCTTTGAGACCTTCTCTATTGCACAATGCCTCATTAAGCCTCCTCCTTCGTTTCGTGATCTTGTATCACAAGCTGAAAGTCATGAATTATTTGTCTCCTCCCTGTCTGGTTCGAGTACACCCCCTGTCGCATTCAGCACCACCACTTCCTCTAATAGAGGTCGTGGTCGATCTTCCAACCGTGGCGCCTTCTCTCGTGGTCGGGGTCGGGGTAGGCGGTCACTGCACTGTCAGCTATGTCGCAAAGAAGGCCATTATGCAAACCAGTGTCCTGATCTTCATTCTTTTGCGCGTCCATCTCCAGCCCTTGATGCGAATTTGGCTCAATCGTTTCATGCCCAATGCAACCTTTCAGACTCCACACCTGACTGGTTTGTTGACTCTGGAGCCTCAACTCATATGACGCCCACTTCATCTCATTTGGACTCTTCATTTGCATACTCGGGTAACGAGCATGTCGCCTTTGGTAATGGTCATACATCTCACATATCTCATATTAGTACTTCTCATATGGCTCCACAAATTAATTTACTCGATGTTCTTGTAGTCCCTAATTTAACTAAAAGTTTGCTCTCGGTTAGCAAGCTCACCAAGGACAATCCTGTTGATGTTTTGTTTTCCGATAAAACCTTTCTTATTCATAATCGCTTTTCAAAGGAAACACTAGCAAGAGGGCGACGTAAGGATGGTTTATTTTTACTTGATCAAGGGAAGCATGCCTTTCTCGCAAATCTTACTTCAAGAAGACTATGAGCATCTTATGATTTATGGCATAGTCGTTTAGGGCATGTTAATTTTGACATTATTTCATTATTAAATAAACTTGGTTGTTTGTCTCTTACTTCTGTATTGCCATCGCCAAGTGTTTGTAGTTCTTGCCAATTATCTAAAAGTAAAAAATTGCCCTTTACCCTCAATTCAAAACGATTTGCATGTGTTTTGGACTTGGTTCATTGTGACTTATGGGGGCCATCTCCTGTCATATCTACTGATGGGTATAGATACTATGTTCTCTTCATTGACGACTTCTCAAGATTCACATGGTTATATCCTTTGAAAAAGAAGTCAAATTTCTATAATGTTTTAACTACATTTGTCACTTTCTTCCAAACACAATTCTCATGCAAGCTTAAGGTCTTTCAATCCGATGGTGGCACTGAATTTATTAATGAACGTGTACGCACATTATTTCTAAATAATGTCACCCTTCATCGCCTATCATGCCCTTATGTACCTCAACAAAATGCTCGTGCTGAAAGGAAGCACCGTCATATCACCGAGACTGGATTAGCAATGATGTTTAAATCCAATGCACCTGCAACCTTATGGCCACATGCATTCAGCTCTGCTGCATATATTATTAATCGGTTGCCTACCCCTCTTATGGATAACAAGTCTCCATATGAGCTTCTCTTCAAACTCTCTCCAAATTATGGGAATTTTCGGGTGTTTGGTTGTCGGGTGTATCCATATCTTCGGGATTATGCCTCAAACAAGCTTGCTCCTCGTAGTACTCCATGTGTATTTATTGGCTACAATACTCAATATAAAGGGTATTGTTGTTTAGACCCCTCTACTGGTCGGATTTATACCACATGTCATGCTCAGTTTGATGAAAATCTATTTCCATACTCTGGATCTTCATCACAAACGCCCTCTGCTCACCTAATATTACCCAAAAGATTACTATCCGTGAATCCGGAGTTTCCGACGAAGAAGTTTTTAAAGCTGTCACATTACATTTTTGAAGCGAAATAAGATTTTTTTTAAGCCACATAGATAGAAATGGTAGCATCCAAATGGTATGCTATTTTTAATAGGTTTTTTTTTTGAAAAAAAAATCAACCAGTCACAGTCCTTAAACCCCACCTTCTCTATTATCTCTCCCAACGGTGTGGTGTTTGCGAGCCCCTTGGCGAAAGCTAAGGGCGGTGTTCAACAGAGGTGGCAAGGCCTGGCAACTTCTATAACTAGCTTCACTCCGTGGAGTTGTAGAATATGTTAGCAAGTAGAAGATATAAAATTTAGTTTGGATTTTTTTTTTTTGGAATATAAACAAAAATGAACTTTAGTTTTGATAGTTGATACAGTGAATGATCTAAAATACATGACGAATCTATATACAGGTGCGTAGCCAATATAAGGCAAGAGTAGACATTCATCCACCCACAAAAAATTAAGGTTATATATATATATATATAATATATATATATATATATATATATATATATATATATAAATACAAGGTTCTAAATAACGTAAGGCGTGACTTGACGGTAATGTCAAGCCTCAAGCTTTTCCGAGCCTTGGCGAGTCACGACGTTTGTAAGGCGTGACTTAAGGCGGCATTTTTCTATATAATTAATATTTTTATATGTATTTTCAGCTATTATTCATTTTTATACACATATATGAGTTAAGGCGACGTTTTGGCAAAGCTTGGCGACATGTGCAAGCCTTGGAGTCGTGGGGCGCCATGGCGTAGCCATGACGAGCTTTTTAGAACCTTGTGTGTGTGTGTATATATATATATATATATATATATATATATATATATATATAGTGAATGATCTAAAATATTAATGTAATCTTAATATCAACTATGAATATAACAATATAAGGCTCAAAGATTTATAGTCTTTAATATAATTATCTCTTATGGTTATACACTTTTGCATACTTTGTTTTAATTCTTTATCCAAACTTGTATCCCCAACTTTATCACTCTGTACAATCACTATTTTCCATTACCTTTTTTTTATTACCCAAATACATAAATTTTTTAAAATCAAATTAAGCAAATTGAACTTAAGCCATTTACATCAATTCTAACAGAATATATTCTATTTTACATACATTTTTTCAGACGCTTTACAACCATTTCGATATTATATACTTTTAAGACCTTTGAAAAATACTACTACGTAACAAACAAAAAAATGCATTTATTCAGACAAACATGGAAGACCATAATGTTCATACATTCAACCACCTTTAATCAACTTATTATATTCTTCCAGAACATTATGTTAAGTTAATTCTACCAATTCTTACCCATGCTTATTGTGTCTCCTTCCTTGTAACAACACAATCTTCATACATTCTACTACCTGTAATCAACTTATTTTATTCTACCACACCATGATGTACAAATAATTCTAACAACTCTTATCCATGATTAATGTGTATCCTAACTTGTAGGAACATAATCCTCATACATTCTACTACGAATAATGTGTATATTTACTGAAATATAACATTTATACAAACAGTGAAAATCATAATCTTCAAACATTTTATCAATTGTAATCAAGTAAATTTATTCTGCCATAATAATGATGTAAAGATAATTATAACAATTCTTATACACGATTAATGTGTATCCCAACTTGTCTCAAACTTACACAAGAAATGCATATCATAATTACATTCTTGTACAACAATACTTACTTGTACGTTACAAACCATCTTTCATAATCACATTCCAACATCTATCAAAGAGTAACGCTTTCCAAAAAAAACTAATTAAACAAATATCATTAACATTCAACTGTTTCACTAAAACAAACACTTCTAAACCAAAATAAAACACATTAACATACTTCCCCATACATAAAACCTAAACCAAAAGCAACCATGTTACCAAAAGTCTTTCAGCATAAAACATCTTACCATGATAAACTGTTTCCCCAAAACAAACAATATTAGAACAAAATAAAACAACGTAACATAGTTCCCCAAATAAAAAAACATAGACTAAAACAAAACATGTCGCCAAAAGTCTTTCAACACATACCCCCATCCTACCATCATAAAATGCCCATTTTAATATTGACGCCTTCCACGTCTCTGCTTCTCCCTGCTTTCCTTCACTTCATTCATAAGCTTTGCCGTGTATTTGATTCTTAGATTATTTAAAGCAAGTACATCACTCTGTTTTTTTCCTATAAAACCGTAATCCCAACGCCTTTCATTTTCCCCCATGTATGACTCCATATTCCTCATAAGATATACTCCACAGTCTGATCCTTCTTTCTCTACTTTCCAGGTGATTTTCATAACACGAGCTTTAATCTTGTTAAAAGCTGTTGACTTTTGGTAATGCTCTGTTTTTAAATAGTTCCCTAGCAATTTTTTCTGAAATACAATACAATCAAATCAATATATTACATTTTTTTATTATCATTACAAAATTTATGTTTTTAAAACCTTACAAAAAATAATTCTTAATCATACCACATGAACGGGTTTTTTACCATAGATGTCCTCAACGACACCAGTTCTGTTCACATGATCAATGATGTAGTACGTTGGAACCCTTAGATCAAAGCATATCAGATAATATTTGCTCTTTTCAACTATTGGGAAGAAAACCTTGTATAAAACATAGAGACATATTTTATAACAATAAGCTACTTTTGTATGTTAGGGCTGTAAATGATAAAAGACAAAAATTAATTCGATTACCAGTCCAATATCCTTAGCCTTTCCTATTTTGGTAGACTTTTAAGGTGTACTTTCAGCATTGAATCAAACAATCTTTTTGTTCTATCAGCTGACAATGATGCATCCAGTATTTCTTGTGCCTGTAAAGATAAATAAATAAATCAATACAACACATATTATTGGACTTTAACTAATTTTAGATTGATTTCTTACCAAAAAATTTGTGTCGAAGAAAACTCTAGAAACTGATCCTACATCCTTTAGTTCCTCCACTATGTTGAGTAATGATGTCCAATAATCAATGATTATCACATGAATAAATGTGTTGCTTTTAAAATGATATGTGAATCATTGATTCAACACATAACCGCTCCCAATGTTCCATAACTCTTCCCTGCTCATCAATTATAAAATGATCAATTTTATAACACCACATTTTAAAATCAAACCACTAATAGAGATTATTTAAATTACCCATAATCTCTTTTCAATGCAAAAACTGAATTGTATAACGCCATTTCAGCCTTCTTCACCTTGCCCCCGATTTTAACAATCCTTTCAACAAAATGTGATTTTCCATATACAGGTATCTTTTGCTCTCTCTTTCCCTTTTTTCCATTGCTATCATCTTCCTCACATACTTCAACTGTTTCCAAGATTTCTTTTCCTCTTTTTTTCATAACTTTCCAACATAGCATCATCTGTCATTTTAATTGTTGTCGCCAACACTTCAGGCTGCTCTAAGAATTGTGAACCGGTTAGATTTTCTGTATTATCTACCTTTTCCACATTAGGTGTACTGAAACCTCCACCATCATCATGCATATCCCCATGAACTACCAATCCTCTAACTGGAGAGAATCATTCTTCATTACCACCATCTGCCTCTCCTTCGTTCCTATGACCATCAAAACCAGCTTCATTACTATTCATTCCTCCATTCTCTGCCTTCTTCACTTCGTTGAACAATTCTTGATTTTTTTCGTACCACTCCTTCAACATCAAGCTGTCTGGGAAATTCTCAATTCCATTTTTTAGAGCTTTTTCAATATTCTTCTTCTCGAACAATAATATTCCATAGCTATGCTCTATAACAGTCACGTATGTCTGTAAGTTTTATTTTAACAAATCATTAACAAAATTCAGACAGAATTAATTTCAACATACATATTAACTTAATAATATTAACACACATAATACAATTTAAATCTAATTTACATGAAATTCTAATAGAATTACCGTCTTACCTCCTCATCCCCATACTATCTCATGAACGATCCCACATTTCATCTTTATCAACCATTTCTTCATCATCATCTATATCTTCAAAGTTTGCTGGTAGTTGCCTACCAAACCCCCCAACACTAATCTCCAAATTCTCTATTTTTTCAAGAATAACACCCATAACATTTCTAGCAAACGGTAACCTCTTAACTGTCTTCAATCCTGAAAACTTCATGTTATATACATACACAAATTACATAAAAAACTACATTAATTAGTTCATTAAACATATTCTATTTTACATTAAAGTAAATATCTAATCGAGATAACAATATTACTGTCAAAATGAGTATAGGTCCACTTTAATAGCATGTCTTATCATCCCTTCTCCACAGCTGCTTTCTGCTGACCAAACAATCTAGAATATACTTGCACCAGTCTATTTTAGAGAAGTCTTTTACCATGACAAACTTATTCACAACATTTATTTGATTGGTACCACTCAAAGTTGATTCCACAAATGTGTTAATGAAAAGTGTTAGAAAATTCAGCCTAAACATAAGACTGTCTTGCTTTGAGTTTTTGATCCTTTAGATGTATTCTTCAACATTAAACCCTTTTTTATCATATTGACTTTTCCATTCTTGCAGAACTTCATTATCTTTCTCACAACTAATCACGCTCAAGAAGTCTTCCCCTACATTTGGTAAACCTAACATGTCATGCACTGTGTCTTTCGTAGTTGTTATGACCATATTCTCCAGAACTAGACAGCTACTATCTGGATCATAGTGATCTAACAAATAGTATTTAAGTAACCCCAGAGTAGTATCCATGTCAATGTTCAGAAGTGAACCAAAACCCATAGATACAATCCCATTTTTCTGTGCAGGGGACATTACTTTGACAGTTGCACTAATCCTTCCAGGAGTCATCCTAGTTTCAAGTCTTCTATACCCTTCTGGATGGTTCTTGCTTACTTTTCTGACCTTCCCCTCCATTGTTTTGGTATTAACATTTTCATTCCCTATTTTTCCCTTCTTTCTCTTTGGAGATTTCTTTGAATGTGCATCATTCACTATCTTTTTTCTCTTTACAACATTTTCCTTATCTTCCATTTCCACACCAAATTTTGCCTTTTCATTGTTTTTCTTTGACCTGCTCATACTCTCCATAAGTAACTCATTTAAACTTCTTGGTTTTTTCCTTTCACCACTTGCTTCTGAGGATATCTTACTATCCTTAACAGGTGTACTTCTCGCAAAACCTTTCCTTTTCATCCTTCCAACAACTGTGTTATCACTTGGTATTGTCTCTTCTTTATCTTTGTTAACATCTGTTGAAGCACACAAACATAATTACTCACTGTCTACTACAAATTGAATAGAATACTAAATGTAATACTAGCCATATCATAATTATATTGTACACCTAGAAACAAATTGTACTAGAACCTGAATATAATAATTAATTTTATACTAGCAGTCTCATAACTATATTCTAAAAATAAATTAATTACAAGCAATAATGATCTTACCTGATTTTCCAGAATCTACATTGTTCTTTCGATGTTCTGATCTTGAAGTTTTTTTCTTCTGTTTCTTTGTTTTGCTTGATCCAACATTATTTTGTATCAATTTGCTCACTTCCAACACCTTATGCTTCAGTAAGTAACAAAAGATACATATTGGCTATTAACATGTTATAAAATTATTGTTATTTTTCTTCATGAACCAAATAAATTAAATCTACCTGTTGGTTGAGAACTGATATTCTCTTTCATGGGTGTTGATCTGGTACGATAGTTCCTTCTCAAATTTGTTTGCCTTGTAGTATCAACATTAACTGGCTCTGGATGAGGTTCTGCAACAACTAATCAATCAAATGATGAAAGTCAATTAATAGTAGTTTTCAATTTAAGCAGCCATAATTATATATATATATATATATATATATATATATATATATATATATATATTAGTACTGTATACGTTTTCATTCTATAAGAATGCAACACAAATCCATATTTTGTTTCTATGAGAATTACCCCCCCCCCCCAATAGTATTATAGTTAAAATAAATCAGCCAAACTCACAGCAATAAAAAAAACATTCAATCACTTACTAGCAATTAGCAGATTAACCGGTCACACTGCAATCTATATAACCCCAATACACACTTAACATGTTCCCATTCTTTAAGAATATAAACACAAAACCTTACTCTTATTCTATGAGAATAAGATTCATACAATATATACAAATGAAGTAAACCATCAAAATCACAGGGTTAAAACTACAAATAAAAAAATATTTATTTCTTCAAAAAAACGAAAAAAAAAAAATTCAAAAATTCTACAAGAACATCAAACACATGACAGTTTTATGAAAGTTTTTAAAAACTTAACTGAAAATTCTTTAAAAAATTCAAACACAAATAACACTACCAACCCTAAAAGAAAAAGATTTTAAATATGTCCATGTTTTGGAAGAATGCATTTCATATGAACTTTACAAAACCACAAAGCATTCTAACGGAATATCATCTTAACAGAATTCTAACAAAACCCGACAAAATATTACCAAAAAAAATCACTTTTAAACCACATAACATAATAAATAATCACAAACCCTTTTTTGCAAAACATCTCTCGCATATCTGTTAAAATCCAAAAATTTGATCGCGTTTTAAATCCCCAATTTCATAAAACCTTAATAAAAAAAATACCCCTTTTTTAAACTATTTTGTTCTATTTTACTTTAACCAACTAAAAAACCACATGCAAATACTTCATTGGTAGAACATTCCAAAAGAATGTTGTGTATTCAAACGATTACCTTAAAAAACTTATAAAAAAAAAAGATTACTGTAACGCCTGTTGATCCGGGCTAGTCAATTTAGAGACGATAAGCATCAAAAATAACTTTTTGATGGAAGATTATTTAGAAGGATTCATCTTAACCAAGTTGTAGTATATGTCACAAGGTTTCCGTGAATATAAAGAACGCCAAAATCCGAGTTATAACGAAGAAGTTATGACCTGTCGAAGTTTCGCGACAAAACCAGCATGACCCAGCGCGACGTAAATAATGAATTTAAGGTAGATAGATATCTATCCTTAGTGATCTAAACGAGAATTGAAGATTTCTTCGATAGTAGTCCAACGATAAAAAGACAGACGAAAACGGAGTTTAGATGAAGGAGTTATGAATTTCAAACGGAGTTTTCCTATCCCAACCCACTAAAGATAATATATAAGTAATATACTTATAATATATTAAAAAATAAAGTCAAAATTAGCCAATGGAGTCTAAACTAGAGTTGTAGATCATAATATCACCTTCGCGTCGATATAAAGAACGTCGAAAACGGAGTTTGTATGCGAAAGTTATGAATTTCTGAAGTTTGGGGCGCGAACCCCAAAGCTGTGTCAGAGACCACGATGTGGAAAGCAGTGCCATGACGTGGCAAGTCTTCTGACATCTCCGGGAGTCCCCCAGATGCAACTTGTGATGATGCATGCAATGACGTTCAAGCCCACGATGTGGGAGAAGTGCCCACGACGTGGAAAATGAGAAAACAGCCCTATAAATAGATTTGAAGGGGCAGCTATTTGTGGTTGCCAAATCTCTCATCTCTCTCCCATATTACATCGTTTTACGTGCAATTTTAACCCCCCGAAGCCCCGGTATCAACCCCGAGACCTGAATCAAGTCCCGAAGATCCCGAGAAGAAAAGAGTTTCCGAGCCGAAGCTCTGCCCGCGAGAAACCCGGTGTGTGAAGTGATCCCGGTTTCACCGAAGAATACTACTTCTACAAGTCGTAGTGCTGTCCGATCATCTTCTGATCAAGTGAGTGTATAGTCACTTTCATCTTACACATTGATATGAAGTATTTTATAAAATACGTGCTATGTGTATATATATTGTTGTTTATACGTGTGAGTGTGTGGTCACTTTCTTCTAACATATATATATATATATATATATATATATATATATATATATATATATATATATATATATATAAAGTATTTGCTATGAAATACGTGCTATGTGTTTATATATTGTTGTTTATTTGAGATGAGTGTGGAATGGATGTTTTATATAGGTGTTAAATGAGTTAATATGTATATGTATCTTATATCTACAAATATGTTGGGTAGAACATGGGTAGATGAAATAGATGATGTGTGATGATAATTAGGTGATGATAAATAGGTGATGTGAGATGAGAGGAGATACCATAACCTCGACCGGCGATGTGGCAATTTGGTGATGTAGTCATCTACCAAAGTATAGATGGCGACCACGGACTATTCTAGATGACCCTATGGAAACACCAACAGGCTCATAACCTGTAGGTGATGAATTACGAGTCCAAGCGATGTTGTGGCTACGTATTTATGCGATGATACTCTAACCCTTACTATGAATTACGAGTCCAAGCGATGTTGTGGCTACGTATTCATGCGATGATAGACTAACCCGTACTATGAATTACGAGTCCAGGCGATGTTGTGGCTACGTATTCATGCAATGATAGTCTAACCCTTATTATGACTTACTAGTCCAGGCGATGTTGTGACTACGTATTCATGCGATGATCCTTAGGAAAAAGGCTTTAGGAACAAACATACAAGGAAATGTGATTTAAGGAGATGAGAGGTAAATATGATGTAGGAGATGACCCTTAGGATAATTCCTTAGGGAAGGTACTTAAGAAATAAATAGAGATAACGGGGATGTGTAATTGGGTTGATTGTTTGATGATTTAATATATATGATATAATATTGTGGGTTGAAACCCTATATGCTCACCAGGCTCCCAAGCCTGACCCACTCAGTTTAATTGTATCACAGGTATCGATACGAAGCTGCTTTGCACTGAGAGATTAAAGGAGATGTAAATCACTAGAGTAAATGAATGTATGTTCTGTTTATGCTTATGTGTCTATATCGGAACATGACATCCCGAGGTTTAATTATTTAATGAAAATACATTCTCTTTGAGAAATGTTTTGATAAGTTTTTATCATATCTTGTTTCGGGAACAAATTCCACAACCGCTTTCTTTAAACGATTACTCTGATTTATAAAACAAAGCACAAACAAATCGGGCTTTTCTGGCCGAGAAATTGGGGATGTCACAATTACCTATAGGCGGAGCGATGAAATCATCATCGCCTTCATCTAGATTCAACATTGTTTCTTGTGTGTTCTTAAATTTTGATTTGAAAGAAGTCGTCCTTGTACTCCTCATTGCACTGCAATTTCTTTTACTTCGAACGATCACAACGCAATTTATGTGAATAATCTTCAAGAATCGATCACTCTATATAACATATACAACAGAATCTACCACTTTTTGGGTTAAGTAGAGAAGATATATTTTGATTTTGTGTTCCAATACAGAGGGTAGTGGAATCCGGGTGCATGCGATGTTATAGGGATTATGCGGGTAGTTTTCATCAATATATTCAGTTTCCTATTTTAATGGAGAGGACAATGTACACTTATACCCTTATTCATTCGTTATCTTTAAATAAGGATCCATTTTCATTTATTGTATATCAATTTAATACTAATCATTTTCTTTTACAAATTAAATAATTGATTGGCCCACAAATCCACAATTATGCATACAATAAAACAATAAATATTTTAAACAAAATAACCTAAGCCAATATATATATATATATATATATATATATATATATATATATATATATATATATATATATATATATATATATAGTATGTACAATATATATTTTTGTTAAATAAAAGGAATTACCGTTAAAGAATTTTGTCACTCATTTATATTTTATATATTATTTGGCCTACCTTAAAAAAATCTGGTTACGCCACTGTCTGTATATTTTTATTATTTATGTGTCATCAAAAGTATTTTGTTTTACGAAAATTTATTAACGATAATATTATATAACCATTATGACTCACGAAAAATCTACGTATATTTATTTCAGTCCAGGGTTTTGTTTGTTTATTTAGAAAAATCACTTCTAATCACTTATTGCTCTGTCGCACAGCACACGTACAACATTTGGCATTTCGCAGTTGATTGTTTTTTGAAAGACTTATAACTTAAAACCGTGTGCTGCGTGGCGCAGCATTGAACCATCCACTTTAAGCCATTTCTCACTTAATTTAAGTTATATTATTCAACTTAGAGTTGTTTTATATATTTTTTTCAACAAGATGTTTATTATTCTAATAATATTTTAAGAATATTAAATACACATGGAGTATATTTTACATAATTTCAAGTAATTTCAAAACCGTTTGGTAAATTTCATATAAATATTTTTTGTGTTATATTGTCTATAACCAAATATTAATAAATTGTGAATTTAATCATCAAAATTAACAAATTTATTGAAGTTAATCGAAAAAAAATTCATTGTGTTCAAAATTTTAACAAAAATGAACATGTTTTTGGTTAAATTAACAATTTATTTATTGTAACTTAGCAAATATTAGGTTTAATTCTTTTATATAAACATTTTTAAAAAATCATATCATCACAATAATCGTTATATTTGATTTGCATATGATTAAACTAAATAAATTTTTTGTTTATATTTATTTTTAACTATTATATAGTTAATTTCAATGTATTGCATCTATCTTTAGAGATTAAAAAACAAACAAACATCTTATTATAAATTCCAGCCATTTGATCCACATTTTCTACTGCAAAGTGTTGCAAATGTGGTACACAAATGGTTTTGCTTAAAAAAAAAAAACATCACCTTGGTAGCATTATTATACCCCCATTTAGGATTATTGACACGATGACACCCATGTAATTTTTGATATATTAAGTGTCCCTGATACCTTTTAGATGTCCATAGGATATACACACATTATACATTAAAGTTTATATATACACATTCACTTTTGGTCGATGCATCCTATTCTTCTATATCCACTAGCTTTTGGGATGCTAGCAGAAGCAAAACTTGTTGACTAGGCTTTCGGATTATCACTCGAACCAATTTGATAAACGTTCGTGTTACTAATAATGTACCTTTTTTTGAACAACTAAAAGATTTTTACTAAACGAAAAGCTAACAAGTTTATAGATAAAACCAGTTATATAATTACAATATTTAAATGAATCCATCATGTCCAAGTAATAGCATTTTTAAGTTTCCTACCTGTAATACCTTATTTTTACCAAAGTCGTAGATTGTAACTATTATAAAATTCGAAATAAAAATATACCTCTCTTGAGCAAAAATAATTGTCATAGACACATAGCAAATTTCAATACGATTTTCGTAGATATATAGAAAGCTTAAATCTAACTTTGTATGAAGAGTTTATGTTTTTTCAAAGTTTCGCGATTTAAACCGATACAGCTTAGTGTATCGTAAAAAGTGTGTTTTAGATAGGTAGCTTATTAGCCTAAACAATCACGAAAGTCGTAGTAAAACCGAGAGTGTACAAATCTAGAATGTCCAAATCTGACTTCAAGAGAGGAAGTTATGATTTCTCCGCAACAATCTTAGCAGTCTAAGCCTATGATAATATAAAAAATTTATAGACCAAGAATTTGCAGTTTAAGCCTAAATAAAAGTTGTAAATCTCTTCGATAGGATTCCGTGGATATAAAGAACATCCAAAATAGAGCTCGTATGTGTAAGTTATGGTCGTTCAAAGATCTGCGAGAAACCGCTTGGACTGATGACGTGGCAGCACCGGAGTGCGCCACATGGCAAGGTTGGCCTTTCATTCCTCCAAGAGACATGATGGCGTGGCAAGATACGGACATGAAACGTGGAACCATAAGAGTTTGACACGTGTCACCTTCTAGAAGAATGAGATGTGGAGTCACCGGAGCGTGACACGTGTCGAAAGGAGAGAGGAGCCAACAAGGGCGAAATGCACAACACACTTATTGGCCTTACATGGCGTGCCTCCTTCCTTCTATAAATAGTCCCTCCGAAAATCACATTTTCTCACCCCAAATTTCATCTCTCTCTCTCTCTCTCTCTCTCTCTCTCTCTCTCTCTCTCTCTTTAGTTCTTTGAGGTTCGACTTTCTTTATTTTTAAAATAGTTTAGTAGGGCTCTGAATTATCTAAGAGGCCGATAGGAAGGGAGCTTTTGGTATCGGGATTTTGTCCACGTATTTTTCATTTTTTTCGCAAAAACCTATATAAATTGAGTTATACTCTCTCGATGTCAGTATATATATATATATATATATATATATATATATATGTGTGTGTGTGTGTGTGTGTGTGCGTGCTTAAGTCGTTATTATGGACCTATAAAGAAGATCTATCAGTAATTTCAAGTCAAAATACTGATTAATCTACTTACAGGAGAGGTACCTAGAATGGTCACATTGACTTGGTTGTTGGATTTAAGAAAGGCTATATCCCAAAATGGTCACGCCTCCAACTGTCCAGCCTAGTTGATCTTTATTTGATAGAACTACTTGCATTCATTAGGAATAGTGATATGTCTACCCTACATTACAGATACCCATAGGAATTAATAAACTATAGTAATATAGGTAGATCCTTTTTGGAGTGTTGCTTATTAGTAGAAATACCCAATTAACTATTTATCCCTTGAGAAACTGTCCAGGTGAGCTCATCTCACTATATTGTATACTCCAATATTGTCAAACCCCAAAACCAAGAACTCCGGAAACGTTCTGGGGCGGAGGACGTCATGTACAATATCACAACAATGAAAAGTGGTAAACAAGCAACAACATCATCTATTGCATTAATAATATAATTTTAATACAAGTGTTATGACAAATTATAATAGACACTAAAGTATAAACAAAATGAAAGATGAGTCTTGAACGAGCTCCATCTTCTCTAAACCTTACATCGGCACCTATCTACTGTTGTCCTGAGGATACAAGTTATTTTGAAAGGGAGTACCAGCTTTAAAGTGGTGAGATTATAAGTATTAATGTGTTTTAATTTGTATGTAAGTATTTGGTTGACATGTAATGAAAGTCTGGAAAATGTTTTGAAATAAAGTTCGTGTAAGTATGAAAATGTTTGTAAAACAACTGTAAACGTTTGAAAAACTCTAGAAATCCCTATAATTTCTACTATATTAAAAGGGAGTCTTCTACCAAGATCCAACTGTTCTAAATGTAGTCTTCTACCAAGACTTAACTGTTTTGTATGTTCTTTTCTTGTAAAAGTGTGTAATTTTCCCCAAGTGTAACTATCATTTACAAAATATAGTTTGTACATTAATGCTTAAGTGAAATGATCACTAACTATATGTAAAGGGTAAATTAATGTAGTATTGTAGTGTTGTATTATAGGAACTACTTCTGTACTAACTACCTTAAACCGGATTTATATTAAGGTATCATGTGATAAATTGTACCATACTATCGACTAGGTAACACGATAATGTAGGTCATAATAAGGTATGACGTTTGGCACCCGCAGACCTGCAGGTCCGGCTGTAGCTAGCAGCAAGGTGTAGGATAGTCAATACAATATAGATCTATACGCAAACTCACGCTCTCCTTCCAAGAGACTCTGGCTACAACTCGGGCCATTACATTGAAGGCATGCTCCGATACAGTGGATCACAATTTTGTTAACGTATTCATGTATAGGTAATGTATTGTTACTCGTTCTAGTATTGTTGTATATGTTCTTCTTCTAGTATAGTTGTATATGTTCTCATAGTAATGTAATGTATATGTTCTTATAGTAATAACTACTGACTCATGAATGAACTGACTCATTGAACATCTCATTGATCTAGCAATAGTATAAGTATTATCACGTGCTACCCATATGGTAACACACTAATGATGTAACTGGTACATATGAATATGGAAGAACTTTTATGACTATATATGTACACATGATATATAACTAATATTGAAACGACCTTCGGACGGATACCCGATATCCCACCAGACCACATCTCAACGGCGAAAAGGAAATAGGGTGGATAGCCTTCCTAAGTCTTTTAAACATTTCTTATATAACTATACATATATAGGCATGCAATTGATAAAATAAAAGCATAAAATAAGTTTTATTATCTAAGAAAAGATCGACTTGATGTCAATCTATAAAAAGGTTTGAAAGCATGGGTTTGATAAAACAGTTTAAGTATAAAGAAACATTTGTTTGAAACACAATTGTAAATGAATTTGAAATGAAACATACAGAGTAAAATGTACAGTTTAATAAGGAGTTTTAAACATATAAAGTGTTTATGAAAAACATTTGAA